GAGGCGGAAGGATCGCCGGAGCCCAGCAGGTTGAGGCTGTGGTGGCCGGGAGCAGCCACTGCACTCCAGTACTCAAAAAATAAAAAATAAAAATAAAAACATGTCAGTGGCTTTTCATGTACCTGAATAGAAACTACAAGGTCAGGGGTTGCTGCCTCAACCTACATCCTTCTTGTGCCTTCACCACTCTCCTCACACACCACGCTCCAACTTGCCAAGTACATTCCCACCTCAGGGCCTTTGCACTTGCTGCTCTTCTTCCTGAATCTCTGCTAGACTCTCCGGCTCTTCACTTGACTGACTCCTTTCATCACCCAGGGCTCAGTTCAAATGGTACTTCCTCAGAGAAGCCTTCCTGACCCACGGGTGCTTTTTTGATCTCACACCCTTGTTTCCTTCCCAGCATTTGCCCTGGTCTCAAATTATGCTTGTTTATTTCTTAGTCTTCTCATCTGCCTCCTGCGCCAGAATGTTCATTCTTTTTTTTTGTTTTTTTGAGTTGGAGTCTCACTCTGTTGCCCAGACTGCAGTGCAGTGGCCGCTCCCGGCCACCGCAGCCTCGAACTGCTGGGCTCCAGTGATCCTTCTGCCTCAGCCTTCCAAGTAACCGGAACTACAGGCGCGCACTACCACACCCGGCTAATTTTTGATTTATTGTAGAGATGAAGTCTCGCCAAGTTGCACAGGCAGGTCTTGAACCTGCAGGCTCAGGCAATCCACTCACCTCAGCCTCCCAAAGCGCGGGATTACAGGCTGAGCCACTGAACCTGGCTCAGAATGTTCATTCTTTGAGAATAGGGATGCTTACTGTCCCTAGAAGTACGCTGGCATCTAGTAGGTATTCCAATAAGTATCTGTTGAATAAAGGAAGACGTTAGGAACAGTGAAAAAAAAACATTCTTTTCTCTTTCCCCACAGCACTCAGTTACCAAGGCTAGTCCACTTTATGTCCTAAATATTTCTAGAATCAACTTTCTCCTCTCTTTGGATACTTCCTTACAACCAGAATCAATTTGATAGCCTCTGTCCTGGGCTCCCTGTCCCCTTGGTCTTTTGCTTCCCACCTATACTCCGCATGTTAGGAGGACTTCTTTGATATTGGTCATGTGCTTCCCCTGCTCAATGGCTTTCAATGATTCCCAGGGCCTGTAGGATAAAATCCAAGTCTGAGAGCTGCCGGGAAGGCTCTCCCCACACTGACTGGAGCCTTATTTCTTCCCCAGAAGTCATGCCACACATACATACAGGGAGTCTGGATTTAAGTCTGAGGGCAAGAAGCCATAGGGGATTTCTAAGCCAGGGGTTGACCTGACCAGATTTGTATTTTCACAAATCCCCCTGGCTGCAGTGTGGAGGGTGGACAGGAGAGAAGCCAGAGAGACCAGCAGGAAAAGCACTAATTCATTCATCATCCAATGTGTGTTTACTACTGAGTTTATTTACCAACACTTTGCTATAGGCTGGGGAAGCAGCAGGAGCCAAGAAAGGATGAAGAGGACAGGTAATAAACAAGGTAACCAATAAAAAATTTCAGAAGGTGAGAAATGAACTGATGTAATAGAATAGTAGACGGGTGGCTACTTTAGACAGATGATCAGGGAAGGCCTGACTCAGAAGGTGACATTTGAACTGAGGCCTAACATGGGGAAAAGCTTGGTGTGCTCAAGGAAGCACATGTTTAGTTTTGTTAGGAGCTGCCATACTCTTTTTCCAGAGTAGTTATATCATTTCACATCCCTACCAACAAGATCCGGGAAACCCAGTTCACATACTCATCCGCATTTGGTGGTCTTTTATTTTAGCCACTCTGAGAGGTGTGTAGTGATACCTCCTTGTGGCTTTAATTTGCTTTTCCTTACTGGTTAATGATGTTGAACAACTTTTCATGCACATATTTGCTGCCTGTGCCATCAGTGAAATGTCTCCTTATATCCTTTGTCCATTTTCAAACTGAATTACTAGGTTTTACCGAGATGAGACATGATTTATGTTTTACAGAGCTCACTCCAGCTGCTTTGGGGAGAATTAACTAACTAAAGGGGCAAGAATGGATACTGGGGAAGCAGTTAGGAGGCACAGGAAGTTCAGGAGAGAGATTTTGGGAACTGACACTGGACATTAATGCTGGACATGGAGAAAAAGGGACATATTCTGGAATATTTAGTACACTGGAGGTAGTTTACAGGACGTGCAGGAGGTCATGGAGAATCAGGAACTTCAGGTTCCTGGAGAGTCCTTTATAGAGGGAGAGCAGGTTTGCAGGAAGGGAAATCAAGGCTCTGGACATCGATTTGAATGGCCTGTCACCGTCCAAGGGTGGAGGTCAGAGATAATGAGAGCTTGACCTAGGCAGAGGCGGGAAGGAGAGGAGGGATTTGAGAGGCACTGGCAGGGGGAAAGGGGGATTAGCAGGAAGCGGTGACTGGCTGAATATCAAAACAGGGGTGGGGACATGCAAGTTTCGGACGTCTACGACGGACTACGCGGGGACTCTAAGGCGCGCAGAAAAACGAAGCCGGCGCAGCCCGGCCCCGAGGGACGCGCCGCGAGGGCGGAGGCGCAGGGAGGGCTCGGCCCCAGTTCGCAGGAATGTGAGCCGGGCTCCGGCGGAAGGGCGGACGGGGCCGGTCAAAGGCTGGCTCTGGCACCGGGACGAAGAGAGAGAGCGCTTCGTCCGTCCTGGCAGAGGCCGGCCGGTGTCCCGGAGGAGGTGTAATTGGAGCAGAGCTTCCAAGGTCACGCAGAGACGCCTCGGAAGGGCTTTGAAGAAAGAGCCTCTTCCGAGGCGGAGGTGCAAGCGTCCTCGTGAACAGCGCGGCGCAGTCGAGGGGGAGGGGGCGGGGCCGGGCGCCACCGGCAAAGGGGGCGTGACCAGACGACGCGAGGGGTGGATCCAGTGGCAGGTGAGAGGTGGGGCCCGGTGAGGGAGGGGTGGGGCCATTGGAAGGGAGGGGCCGTGTCCGAGCAGAGAAGAGATTGGGTGAACGCGGCAACCGGGAAAAGGCGGGCTATTGGCAACACCCGGCAGAGCGAGGTGGGAAGGAGGAGGAGGAGGAGGAGGGGCGGGGCGGGACCCGGGACCCGGTGAGCAGAGCGGGGCCACGGGAAGGCGGTGTAACCGTGGCAGCTCTACTAGGTGGACTAGCTGATTTGGTGGGTGGACTGGGGTGTTAGGAATCCGAGAAGTGATGGGAAGTGAGGCTTTTATCCCTGTCCCCCACAGCGCTGGACCCCCAGCCTCAGGAGGAGGCAAAGGCTGAGGTCGAGTCAGGTGAGCTTGGCCGGCTTCGGGCCGAGCTGGCAGGCGCCCGGGCAGAAATGGAGACCATGAAGGCTGTGGCGGAGGTGAGCGAGAGCACGAAGGCTGAGGCTGTGGCTGCAGTGCAGCGGCAGTGCCAAGAGGAGGTGGCCTCGCTGCAGGCCATCCTGAAAGGTGAGACCAAGGCTCCCCTGGACTCCCATCAGACCCGTAAGGGGGAGCGCATGACGATAAAGGGGGTTAGTGGGCACAGATAAGCTACGGAATAGGTTAGCCGGGTTGCCTAGCACAGGATTTGCTACGGCCCAGTGGAAAGGGCACCCTTTTTATATTTGCATAGAGGCACTACTTGTGATAGCCGCTCTGTCGGTTACAGCTAAGTTTAGCTCCGAAATTCTATCTGTTCCCTTGCCCCTTGTCATTTCTTGTCCCTTACCGATGACTGATCAACCCTGAAGATGAACAAGAAACCTCTCAGTTCCCCGAACCAGCCTAGCTTCATTTCAGGCTGGGCCTCTGGGCTACAGACTCAGCCTGGGCCTAGTCTCTGTATCTAATCCCTTGGTTTCCATCATTCCCCAGACGCCCTACCTCTGCCCCCACCCCATGCTCCAGCTTCCCCTTCCACCTCACCTTCTCTGTACTTGGGAAGCACAGCTCCCTGTCCCCAGGTGCCCCAGCTTCTTTTCTCCTCCCTGTCCTCTAGCAGAGGCCAGAGGCTCCGAAACATGCCAGAGCTGCTCCACCTCTCTGCCCCCACCGCCCCTGCCGTAGTGGAACTCTTGTCAACTCTATCCTGTATGGCTGCCACAGCCTTCTCACAGATCTCCCTCTATAGTCTGGCCTTGACATTGACTTTCAGAGTAAACATCCTAAAATTCCTACCCTACCATGCCACTTCCCTTTCTAACAACTGCTCCTGCCCAGACTTCCCCGGGGCTGCATTTCCCACATTTCAGGCATGTACATCTTTGTTTCCTCAGACAGCCTACCCTGCTATTTTCCTTATGTTTGTTCTTTAAATAGATCTGCTTCTTTAAAGCTTGCAAACATTTATCAAAGGAAACTTCTTGTCTCTGTAAAAAAAAAAAATAGATGTATCCTAAGTACTAACAGTATGTAACATTTATTGAGCATTTACTATATGCCAGGCACCAAGTGAAATGCTTTATGAGTATCTAACCTTCATAACAAACTCTATGACACAGGAACTACTATCCATCTCCACTTTACAGAGGAAGCTCTGAGGCCCCAGAAAGTTAAATAACTTGCCCAAGATCACAGAGCTAAAAGCTGCAGAATATTTGAACCCAGGCAGCCTGGCAGCTGAACCTTTATTTCTAACATTAGTACACATTGACAATATCTATACAAATAAAAAGTGTTCATTTTTAACCCAACACCACCTCTGCTCCTGCTGACCTGTAGGATACATTCCAAACCTCTTGGCATGGCATTCAAGGCCCTAGGTGCCATTCACTGCCATCCTCTCCACCATATTGCCTCAGGTACCTTTACTCTTCCAGCCCTTCCAACATGTCCCACCATGAGCCTGACATTGACACACCTCTGCTCTTGTGGCCCTGTTACCTAATGGGTCCTTTCCCTCTTTCACTGTCTACCAGTATCCCCTCCTGGCCAGCCAGGCAGAGTGAGGGCTCCTTTCTCAGGACCCACAAGTCCAGGAAGGGTCCTCTCCTCTAGCTCTGCCCACTCTGCTTCCTAACTGTTGCCACATTAGACTGTGCTTTTCACATTGGACTGTGAGCTCCCGGGGACAGGCCTTGTGTTTGATTACTTTCTGTATTTCCAAAGCCCAGGTCAGAGTCTAGTCCAAAGAAAATATTTATTACAGTAAGTTGCCTACACACAAGCCTTCAAGTTGCCAACTTTCAAAGATGTGAACTTGTGTTCCATGTCCAGTCATGTAAGTTAGTTTACATGCCTGGCATACTATTGTGATGTGCGTGTATCTTCTTTTTTTTTTTAGTCAGAGTCTCTGTTGCCCAGGCTGGAGTGCAGTGGCATGCTCTTGACCACCGCAGCCTCAACCTGCTGGGTTCAGGCAATCCTTCCTCTTCAGCCTTCCAAGTAGCTGGAACTACAAGTATGCATCACCACACTTGGCTATTTTTTTTTTTGTCCATCATAGAGACAAAGTCTCGCCATGTTGCTCAGGCTGGTCTCAAACTTGTGGGCTCAGGCAGTACTCTTGCCTCTAACTCCAAAAGTGCTGGGATTACAGGCATTAGCCACTGCACCCAGCTACGTGCATGCATCCCCAACAAGTGGTTGTGTTTTTATTTACTTTCCGGTACTGCTTGTTTGTTTTTTATGTATTATTTGTGTGAAAAGTATTATAAACCAATTACACTACAGGACTTTATAGCAGCTGATCGTTTTAGTTGGGTCCCTAAGCTAACTTTATTAGACTTAGGAACACATTGAACTTACAAACACACTCTTGGAATGGAACTCGCTTGTATGTAGAGGACTTACTGTATTATTATTAAGCATTGATTGTTAACGGTATATATTAACAGGAGTAGGCATCATGTCTTCAGCGTGTGCTCAGGGAGAGGACTGGGCACCTTACCTATGTCATCTCATTTGATCCTGTGGCAGCCCAGTGGGGTTATCAGTAATACCCCATATTGCTCCTGAGGACACTGATGTGCAGAGCCTAAGTGATTGGCCAGGCCCGTCTCTGCAAAGCCCGCATGGCAACCGCCATGGCAGATTGCCTCGCGGAAAGTCACTGCATCGAAAGCCTCCTGCTCACCCACAGGTAGGGCCAGCGCACTGACCCTCCCTCTCCCCGCCCTTCCTGCCCGCCAGACTCCATCAGTAGCTACGAGGCCCAGATTACTTCCCTGAAGCAGGAGCGGCAGCAGCAGCAGCTGGACTGCGAGGAGAAGGACCGGGAGTTGGGCCGCCTGAAGCAGCTGCTGTCCCGGGCTCACCCCCTGGACTCTCTGGAGAAGCAAATGGAAAAGGTTGGGGCTCGGGTGGCCTACCTTGCCCTCTTTGGGTGTAGAAAGATGTCGAGCATTGTCAGTGTCCCATTCCCAAAGCTGGGTACAGTACCGCGCCCCCAGTAATGATTCTGAGAGGAGCACCGAGCTACCATATACTGCTGTGGTTGGTTGTTTTTTTTAATTAAAATTTTTAAAAATTAATTAGTTAGTTGATTTTGAGGCAGAGGTCTCACTCTGTCACCCAGGCTGGAATGCAGTGACATGATCATAGCTTATTGCAACCTTAGCCTCCTGGCTTAGGACACCCTTCTGCCTCAGCCTCCCGAGTAACTGGGACTACAGGCATGTGCCACCACACCTGGCTAATTTTTTGACTTTGTAAACACGAGATCTCACTCTGTTGTTCAGGCTAGACTTGATCTCTTGAGCTCTTCTGCCTCAGCCTCCCAAAGTGCTGGGATTACAGGTGTGAGCCACTACACCTGGCCCTACCATATACTATTGAAAGCTTGGCTCCATGCTCAGCAGGGTCCTGGCTTTCCTCTTACAAGTTCATCTACCTCTAAAAGTGTCACGTGGGAGGAAGGGAACTAACACTTAAGGATACCTCTGATATGCTAGGTACTGTGCTCAGTGCTTGGCAGACTCAGTCTCCCCAGACTTTCCCCTGTAAGCGAGGTCCATTTAACAGATGAGCCAGGTGAGTCTCAGAGAAGTTTGGTAGTTCTCCCCAGGCTAGGTACACAATGAGGAATGGAGTTGGGATCTTAAAATCTAGACAGACTGATTCTAAAGTTTTTGTTCCTATTCTCTGTGGTATGTCACTGCCTTTATTATTGTTGCTATTATTAACAGGAAGCACATATTACCACATACTTCTTCTTTCAGAGCAAATTTACATTGCTACCACATTTGATCCTCATGGCAGCCCTGTGAGATAGGTACTTAAATTAATACCTGATTTCATACATCAGGAAACTGAGGCTCAGGGAGATGGCATCAGTTAGTTGGTTAGAAAGACAAAGATTGCTGGACATGGTGGCTCACGCTTGTGAGCTTAGCACTTTGGGAGGCCTAGGCAGGAGGATTGCTTGAGCTCAAGAGTTCAAGAACAGCCTGGGCAACATAGCGAGACCTCATCTCTACAAAATAAAAAATAAAAAGTTAGCTGGGCATGGTGGCACACACCTGTAGTCCCAGCTACTTAGGAGGCTGAGGCAGAAGGATCACCTGAGCCCAGGAGGTCGAGGCTGTAGGGAGCCACGATCATGCCACTGCACTCCAACCTGGATGACAGAGTGAGACCCTGAGTCAAAAAAAACCCCAAAAAGACAAAGATCAAAACAAGAGCCCAAGAAAGAAAAGCTTCCAAGCCACAGCTTCTCAGCAGAGGCTGCCACTCGCATCAAAGTGTTCCTCAGGGAGCACCTCCACAGGTGGGACAGGTGAGGGTGCTGCCCAGTGAAAGCCCCCTGGCACGGTGGGAGGACCAATTCGGCAGCCAGGCAACTTCCAGTCCTGGCCAACTCCTGTGCTCAGCCATCACCCATCCATGTGTGACCATCTGCAGGACATGTATTCCAGGCCTGCAGACAAGACCAAAGGGGTCTTGTTTGGGCCACACAGGCTTGCCTTGCTTGGGAAACCATAGAAGAGATTTGGAGGGTTAAACTGAGCTTGTCTGAGGGTAGGGACAGGGACTGGGATGACGGTTGGACAGCAGGGTTGTTGTCACCGATTTAGTGTTTGTGGCAGGAAGAACAGCATTGGTGAGTGGTCTGGTTTGGCTGTATCAGGTTAGAGGAGCCCATGTGACATTGAAGGGGAGGTGTCCAGAGGCTGTTGGCTGTACAAGTTCAGTAGGATCTCAAGCTCGAAAAGAGATGGGAAAAAATGGTCAGCTTTCTGGGAGTGATGGGACTATGGGAGGACTTATCAACTAGGATGAGATTTGGCTGCATGAGATTGAAAACCCAAATTAACAGTGGTTTAAATAAGATAGTTTATTTTTTCTTAAAGTGCAGCGGACATTCCAGGACTAGTGTAGCAGCTTAACAAGTCACTAGAACCCAGACTCCTCCTATATTGAGGTTTTGCCATAGATAGCAGATTGCCTAATGGTACAAGATGACTACTTGAGTGCCAGCCATCATGTCCACATCTCAGCCAGCAAGGAGGAGAAGGAGGAATTAAAAAAGGCACACCCTCTTCCATTAAGGAGTTGTCCTGGAAGGCGCCCCTGGCACATCTTCCTCCATCTCATTAACTGCAACTTAGTTGTATGATCATGTTTAGTTGCAGGGAAGCTGAGAAATGTGGATGGTATTCTAGAATTTAGGCCACATGCCCAGCTAAAAATGTGAGGGTCTATGACAAAAGAAAAACGGGATGTTGGGGAAGAAAGTATGGTAAGTAAGTGGGTCCCAGGAAGACGACATGACCTTGGCCCCTTTACCTCATGCCCGGGGGCCAAGTGGGCAAGATCCAGAGCCTCTGTGCTCTTACCTCTGCAGTGGGGGTGGGCAGTGCCTTCCAGGGAAGGTTAGGAGAGCTGATGTGCTTGGAGAAGAAGCTCTGAACAGACCCGGGGGCCAGCAGTCCGGAGCCCGGACTGTCGCTGCCCAAGCCTCTACCTTCAGGCCCACGAGGACTCGGAGAAACTGCGGGAGATCGTGCTGCCCATGGAACAGGAGATTGAGGAGCTGAAGGCGAAACTGCTGAGGGCGGAGGAGCTGATTCAGGAGATCCAGGTGCGGGGCGGCCAGGTGCGCG